AACAACAGAGCTTTCTTCTTCATCTCTGGTGGCCCAGAAGTCGAGTCTGCACTAGAGATGGAAGTAGACTCATGGGTTTTTCTCTAGTCAGCTCTATATTTTCTCATCATCGACTGTTGGCTTGGCTCATGGTACTTCGTGCACAATCTAAGATGCACGTCTCACTCTTTGTTATAGTCACTTTTGTCTCCATCTGACTCATCTCCCATCATTCCTTCCTCATCTCTGATGCTCTTAACGTTCTGGCACTACCCACTTAAAATGAAGCTCTGCCTGATCCTGTTCATCAACGTCATTGACGATCCAACCATTGTGATCCATGTGGCTTTCAAGAACTGATTTTTTTTTTTAAACATTGATTTCCAATCTGTGCCTTGTAGTCCATGTTAGTTGGGAAGCTCCCTGAAACTGGTCCAAATCAGTTCCACAGCAGCATGCAATTCCTCCACTGACGTGGCAATGTGCACTTAGGAAGTGCATTGGTCAAGAGTGGAATCTAGTCTTACCCATGGAAGAGGATTTCTACCACTGAACCGGCATTGTTTCTACAGAGGAACTAGGTCTTTGTCAAACTGCTTGACTTCTAGGACACAAGAAATAGTTCTAAGTCTTTGCTCTCTATACTAGCCTTCCTGTGTGGTGACAGAAAATTGAGGTAGGTTCAGATTATGTCTTCTTTGTAGCCCATTCTGTCCAATTAGCTACCTCCCAGTCTACGTACCCAGTAATTAATCTTTTCCTTTGCCTTCTACTACCACTGGCCAGTGCACTACACACCATCCTTTGTCCTTTGGACTATATTGTATTCACTCCTCATCTTTTTAAGTCAGTTTCCATGTATCCCCCATGACATTCTTCCTAAAACAAAAATGTGACTGTGTCTCAATCCCATTTCTAAGATACATCCCTAATTCTTCGTTATAGTCACTTTTGTCTCCACATGACTCATCTCCTATTATTCCTCTCTCATCTCTGATGCTCTTGATGTTCTGGCACAACCAACTTAAATCCATCAGTTGTTCTCATGGCTGCAAGCTTTTATACCTGTTCTCTTTGTGGAGTGGAGTGTCCTCCTTTCTCTGTGTCAAGATGCCTACTCATCCTTCAAAACCAAGTTCAATGGTATGATTCTAGGTAACTTTTCCTGGTGGTGCTGCACCTCCCTTTCCTAGGTTAATCTTTCTTTCTTCTGAACCATAGACTGCTGTCACATAGTATCATGATTTATTTGCTTACAAGCTTTCTGAAGGCAGGGTTCCTGTCTTAGTCATCACTCTACCCCCAAGACCTAGTAGTCAGTTAATGTGCGTTCAAGCAAATATCCTTGCAAGAAGAAACACAGAAGCTGCGTGTCTAACCTTTATTGTACCTGGGTGAGGGCTTATCTGTCTTAATGGGAATGGAGGTGGAAAGGCTCTGGGAGATTCTGAGCTAACAGGTATGGTGAAGTTGAAGTAGGATAGGGAGGAAAAGGTTAAAGAGATGTGAGCAGAGTGGGAGGAAAGAGAGCTAGAGAGAGAGTGAGAGGAGAGGAAGGAAGAGAAATGTTGAGAGACAGCCTCTTAAGGGTCCAGTTTCACCTCTAAGTCTCCCTAGGCTCACGGATTATGTTGGGGGCTTGTCTCTGTCAGTTCACTTTCACTGTGGTTTTCCAGAATGATGACTCAAATCTGGTCACCCTGTTTCTGTCTGGGGTTTGAAGGGTAAGGTAAAGAGTTGGAAGAGATTCAGGGGACACTTAATTAAATTGAGTTGAGATGTGTCCACTCTTCACCTTGGCAACGATGCCATTCAAAAGGGTTCCATTGTGCCCGGATAGCCAGGAAAGAGAATGTGTTTATACCCTTTCTTTCCCACTTATATTATTGCCTCTAAACCTTGTCTTTCAGATATGAACTATCAGTCTTGCCCACAATGGAGGGGAGAGTGCAACAACAGTGCCGTCACCGTGTTCTGGAAGACCATTTCCAAGAACGTAAGTGTCAACTCATCAAATTCCAGAACTCTGGGAGGCAAAGAGCTTATGAGGCCCCTTAGTCTCGTGGTTGGGTCTCTACACTTTGTGCTCCACAGACTCTTTTAAGAATGAAAGTTTAAAGTGAGGAAATTGTTCAAAATTGCATTCCAGATTTTCACAATCTCCATGAGGTCATGAAGGGCTCATGATACGAGCTGAAGAAACTTTGTTCCTACCAACTCTTTGACTTTGGATGCCAAGAAGCTGGGGGCTTAGTTACATCTTCACATCCAAGTACCAGCCAATTATAGACTTCTAGTAAGATCTTATTAATTTACAGTTGTAACATAACAACAACAACAACAAGCCACCTATTGTATGCCAGATACTGTGATTGGCTCTTTGGATAATTTAATATCTTCCATTCTTTCAAGAGTCTTATAAAGTAGATATCAAAATTATCATGCCAATTTTATGGATGAAAAAAAATTAAAGTACAGGTGAAAAAGCAAACTATCAAAGGTACACAGCTGTCAATGATTGTGTTTCCCATATGTCCACAATAAATGCCCATGGAAGCAGAAGTCATGAAATTTTAAAAAAATGGTTAACTTGCTGCAAAAGAAGCATCCCTTGGATGATTAATGGATGTCTGACCCCAATCATGGTATTTGCAGTTGCTTCATGTGTGTATAAATGTTGGACACTGAATAAGGAAGACCAAAGAAGAATTGTGCCTTTGAACTGTGATGGTGGAGAAGAATGCTGACAGTATCACGGATTGTCAAGAGAACACGGAACTCTGTCTTGGAAAAGGTGTAGCACAGTGGCCCTCAGAGGCAAAGCTGGTGAACATTTGTGTCTCAAGTTTTGGCACATTAGTTGGAAGGGCCAGTCCCTGGAGAAGGACATCATGCTTGGTAAGGTAGAGAGTTGGCAAAAGAGAGAAAGACCCTCAGTGAGATGGACTGATACCATAGCTACAAGAATGGCCTCAAACACAGAAGGGATTGTGAGGTTGTGCAAGGACCAAACGGTGCTCTCTTCTGCTGTACAGGGTGTTGATGTGAGCTGTAGCTGACTCCGTGTCACCTATAACAACAATACTGATTTTGTGTTTGCTTATTATTTCTCAGAATATTTTGTTGTTTTATCATGTGTGATAGTTTTAGGGCTCTGATGATTCTGCAAACCTTTAAAGTTGAGACATAATTGTATGAATCCCTGTTGGTGAGCTAGATTAAGCAAATGGCTGTTAACTAAAAGGTTGGTGGTATGAATCCATCCAGGGGTATCTCAGAAGAGAGAGGTGTTTCTACTTCATTGAAAACCCTCTGAAGCATAGATCCACTCTGAAATTTAGAGTCACCAGGAGTTGAAATAGCTTTAAGTTGTTTTTTTTAAGGGCTCACTCTGAGCTTAGTGCCTGGAGTGCAAAGGTGAAGATGATGGAGTTGGGGAGCCCTTATGATACACTTATGGGCTTGCATTTTATTTTTGTCAAGTGTTCATGACAGATTGTTGTGGTTATCTGGCTTGAAACAAAACAAACATGGAAAATTAGACTCTTCTGTTTTCACAATAGAGACACTACTGCCTGGTGATTTGAGTCTGCACTTACAGATTGAGGAGAGTTGATTCAAGATATCCTTCGTTTGTCCCATCTGGGAGGCTGGGCTCTATGAGGAGGAATGTGGCATTGGGATTGGAGGAAGGCTCATCAACAACTTTCATTATGCAGGTGACATAACCTTGCTTGCTGAAACTGAGGAGAACCTGAGGCATTTGCTGCAGAAGGTCAAGGACTGTAGTCTTCAATATAGATTTAAGTTTAGCATCAAGAAGACAAAGATTCTTACCCCTGGGCCAATTGGCAGGATCATGATAGGTGGTGAAGAGATTGAGATTGTTAACAGCTTTAGTTTGCTTGGCTCCACAGTCAACACTCTTGGTACCTGCAACCAGGAAATCAAAAGATGAATTATATTTGGTGAGTCTGCTGTCAGGGACCTCTCTAGAGTACTGAAAAACAATGATATCAGTCTAGAGACTAAGGGTGTGCCTAATCCAGGCCATAGTCTTTGCAATCACTTGTTATGCATCAGAGAGTTGGACAATGACTAGGGATGATAGAAGGAGAATTGATACCTTTGAGCTGTGGTGCTGGAGAAGAGTACTGAACATTCCATGGACTGTTAGGAGAACAAACAGGTTGATCCTGGAGAAGGTGAAACCAGGCGACTCCTTGGAAGCAAGGATTTTGAAGCTCTGTCTGATGAATATGTTGCAAACCAGACCTTGGAGAGGGACAATATGCTTAGAATGATGGAGGGACAGTGTAAGAGAGGAAGACCCTGGATGAAATGGATTGACTCAGTAACTGGGAAAAAATAGGGGTAGATGTGTCAGAGATGATGAGATTGGCTGGGGGTTGAGAGAGTTCAGAGCTGTTGTACATAGGGTTGCTATGAGTCGAAGTAGACTTGATGGCCCATAATGACAACAACATTCTTTGTTTAGGCCCTTTCTAAAAATGTCCATCTCAGACTTGGTCTAGGAGGTCAGGAACCCACAGTGGAGGCAACACTTGTATTCTGCTCTGCATCCTCCGTGGAAAGAAAAGAACAGAGGTGATTTTCACAGCTCCTGTCTCAAATCTTAGCACTTGCAGAATAAAGTTCTGATTCCTTGGCAGGAAGCCACACCTCTCCATGAACTCACTTCTCTATGAAACTGTAGCTCATGACCTTCTCCCAAGACACCATTGTCTTCTCTAACCTACAGGCCTTTCCACCAGAAGCTGCCTTTGCCTGGTGGACTCTTCCGGGGCACCAGGAGCTTAAACCTTCATTGGTTCTCTCTGGGTCTCTGTTGGGGCAGGCTGGACTTCCTCTCTTCCTGTAATGTAGCATCTTGAGCCAGGTAGCAGGCACGAGGGTTGTAGGTGCAAAGAGGTGCAGGTTCCTAGTTTAATCACGTGGTGTCATACGATTACAACTGTGTGACAGTTGGGTAGTAAGGAGGATGCGAGGTTGTTAGGACTCTAGAAAGGAGACCCATGCTAGCCTTGGGCACCCAGAAGGTTTTCTTGGAGAAAACATGCAGAATCACATTGTCATGTTTATTTTGTCCTTCTCATCCTTCCCAAAACAAAACCTGCTTGTTCATGGCAAACCCAGGTACTGCAGATTAGAATTGCTCCATATGTGTTTTGTGGCCGTACTCTTTACAATCAACAGAAGAGTTGATGCCTTTGAATTGTGGTGTTGGGAAGAGTATTAAATGTCCCATGGAATATCAAAAGCACAAACACACAAGTCTTGGAGAAGGTTTCCATAGTGTTCCTTAGAGGTAAGAATGGTGACATTTTATCTCCCATACTTTGGACGTATTTTCTGGAGGAACCAGTCCTTGGAGAGAGACATCACGCTTGGAAAGGTCAGGGAAAGAGAGGAAGACCCTCAATGAGTTAGATTCACACAGAGGCTATCACAATAGGCTTGAGTATTACAGAGATCATGGGGAGGGTGTAGAATAAGGCAAGGTTAGATCTGTAATCACAGGGTCATGATGAGTCATGGGCAATCTGATGGCACCAGACAACAACTCTTTCGCGATCTCTTATCAAGGACTTCTTTAAAGTGCTACAGAGCAAAGATGTCAGTTTAAAGACTAAGGTGCACCTGGCCCTAAGCAAAGGTACTTCAGTTGCTTCCTATGCATGCGAAAGTTGGACAACAAAAAGGAAGACTGGAGAAAAATCAATGCCTTTGGATTGCACTGGAAAACAGTACCGACTATACCATGAACTGGCAAAAAAATAAACAAATCTGTCTTGAAGGAAGTGTAATCAGGGTGCTCCTTAGAGGAAAGGATGATGGCACTTTGCTTCATATGCTTTACCCCCTGGAAACGGACATCATGCTTGGAAAAGCAGAAGATCAGCAAAAAACCCTCAAAGAGATGGATTGCCCCAATAACTCCAACAGTGAGTTCAAGAATAGCAATCATTGTGAGGATGGTTCAGGATCAGGCAGGTTCAGGTCTGTTGTTAATAGGGTCACCATGTTGTTGTGGTTGTTATGTGCCGTCAAGTTGCTTGCGGCTCGTAGCGACCCTATATACAACAGCCCTAAACTCTGCTCTGTCCTTTGCCAATCGCACTGTCTCTGACACTCCCATCTTGGTTATCTCAGTCACTGAATCAATCCACCTCATAGAGGGTCTTCCCCTCCTGCGCCGTCCCTCCACCCTCTCAAGCACGATGTCCTTCTCCAAGGACCAGTCTCTCCTCACAACATGTCCAAAGTATGTTAGATGAAGCCCCAGAATCCTTGCCTCCAAGGTTTAACACTTTCCAGGATGCGTCTGTTTGTTTTCCTAGCAGTCCACGGTACTCTCAACACTCTTTTCCAGCACCACAGTTCACAGAGAACTCAATGAACCTAACAACAGCCTTGACCGAAGGCGATGCCCAGGCCTTTCTTCTGTAGCCCTGTTGGTAGTTTTGAAGCCTTTGGGTTAATAGTCAAGCACAGTTTATGCCTATTTAAGCCTTTGTGACTTTCCTAAATGCCTATTCAGCTTTCAGCAAATATTCTAGCTGACTGAAGGAAACACTTTGCCTCACAATATCCATTCATTCATTCATCCAAAAGGCAGTCAAGAGATCAAGAGGAGTATTGCATTGGACAAGTCCACTGTCAGAGATCTCTCCAAATTGCCAAGGATTCATGATGTCAGTTTGAAGGCTACAATGTGCCTGGTTCAGTCTTTTTAATCACTTGCCTTGCATCTGAGAGCTGAACAGTGACTAAAAGATGAAGGAAGAATTGATGCCTCTGAATTATAATATTGGAGGAGAGTGATGAATATCTCATGAGCTGTCAAAAGAACAAATAGTCAGGTCTTGGAAAAGTGCAGCCAGAGTCAAGGATGATGAAGTTTCATCTCACATATTTTGGCATGTTGCTAGGAGAGGCTATTCCTTGGGAAGGTGGAGGGTCAGTGAAAGAGAGGGAGACTCCATGAGGTGGACTGATACCATGAGGGAAGCAATGGTCACAAGTGTTTCACAGATAATGAGGATGGCACAGAATAGGACAGGGTTCAGATGTGTTTTGGGTTTTTTTAAAAATTTATTTATTTATTTATTTATGTGTGTGTGTGTGTGTGTGTATACTATGAAATCAGATCTGACTGGTACAGGAGGAGATTCCCTCCTTCTCCAGCATAGCATCTGGTGGATTTGAACCATATACCTCTGGAATTGCAGTACAGCTTCTTGCCACTGGGCCACCAGAGCTCGCCCTGATCAGTTTTTTTTATGGGGTTGCTATGTGCTCTACTCAACTTGATGGCTCCTAACAAAAACAACAACAACAACAACAACATTTCATTCTCCCTTCTCTGCGCCTGTCCAGACCTCCACGTTGCCTCTCTCTCCTCAGTGTCCTCATTCCTGGTGTCCCTGTTTCTCTTGCTGCTCCCACTAAATGAAATGGGTGATGCCCACAAGACTGGACACCAGGGAGTGTGTCATCATCTTCCTCCACCCATGTTCGTCTCACTCACCTGAGCGTCTGACTTTTCAGCCACTTGACCTTGGCACCTCCCTGAGCAATGACTATGAACCTCACTGATGCTGCTGCTTGCAGACTGGGACAGCTGTAAGAACCCTAAGTGGAAGCATCCTCCTCTGATTGGCTTGAAATGACAATTACACTGACCTTGAAAATGGCATTTCTGTGTTAAAAAATAAAACACTTCTGTGTCAGGCATATTGTCTCTAACTTGTGAATGGGGTGCTATTTTGGGGTTTAAAAAATTTAATTGTTTTTTAAGGAGCTCTGCTGGCCTACTGGCAAGAAACTGCACTGCAATCCCAGAGGTATGCGGTTCAAATCCACCAGATGCTCTGCTGGAAAAGGAGGGGCGATCTCCTCCTGTACCAGTCAGATCTGATTTGACAGTACATGTACAAAAAATAAGAAAGTAAAATAAAATTTAAAAAAGTTTCACATTCTTTAAAATACAAAAAAAAATTGATTGTATTTTCTTTTTATTCATTGTTGCACATTTTCTTCCCCTTCTTCCATCCCTCCTCCCATGAGGTGCAGTGTTTGAACTGCTTGGGTGATTAAGTTTGCAGGATAAATGATGGTGTTTGTTTTGTTTTTAAGTTTGCAGAATCTGCCAGCGGTGAGGTCTATGTGATGCTCAATGGATCTGCCAAGTCCAACGGGTCTTCCAGCGAAATCTTTGACAAAAACAGGTATTCATTTTTGTGCATCTTGTTGGCAAAGGTTATTCCTGTCTTTTGTGTGTGTGTCTCAACTCTAGAAGCATACGCTTGTCTTGTTTCAGCTCAGTCCTGAAGACTTACAGAAGGTAAAGTCTCTGCCGTCTACAAAGGATTGGTCTTTCTCAAGCCGTGTTTTTGTCTGGTTCTTCCTTTGCCCCACATCCCTGCATAGTCTTAATGGTCACTGCCCTGTGTTCAGCCTGTGCCCTTGACTTTCTGAAGCTGCTGGCGTTGCCTCTGCTTTCTTTTCCATTATGCACCACCTGCCCAGTTCTTGGCTTTTCTGCTGCTGTTCCCTACCACATATGATCCATACGACCTGACCCTCAGCTGTTTAAATCTTCACCATCCTTGAAGGTTTGCTCAAACCTGTCTTTCCCCCATGAAGTGTGTGACCTCCAGTTACTACATAAGCTTATTACTGGGGACAAATTATTGATGAGAAAATGATGTCAGTTTGAGGACTAAAGTGGGTCTGATTCAGACCATAGTCTTTCTGATCACTTGCTACACATCTGAGTGCTGGACAATGAATAAGGATGACAGACAGATTAAAACTGACACCTTTGAGTTGTGGTGTTGGAGAAGAGAGCTGAACATCTTGTGGACTACCAAGAGAACAAACAAATATGTCTTGGAGAAAGTGTATCCAGAGTGCTCCTTGGAGGCAAAGATAATATTCATCTCATATACTTTAGCATGTTGCTAGGAGAGGCTATTCAATAGATAAGAACATGATTCTTGGAAAGGCAGAGGTACAGCAGAGGAGAGGAAAACCTTTACCCAGGTGGACTGACACAGTGACTGTTGCAATGGGTTCTAGTGTGTCAGAAACTGTGAGGATGACACAGGGTCGACAAGGTTCAGATTTGTTGCTCATGCTGTCACTATGGGTTGTACTCAACTTGACGACAACTAACAAGAACAATAACAACAATAACAACAACTGCTAGTGACACCAGGAACTATGCTGGGCTCTTCTTCAACCATTAGCTCTTTAAAGATACCTATTATTTGATAATATCCAGTGACCTCTTGCTGATATTACTGCTGTCATGTTTAACAGCTGGGACTTCTAAAGCAATTATGTATTACTTAGGCGACCTTGTAGGAGGTCTAGTGGTGCAGTGGGTTAAGCACTCAGCCTCTAAACTGAGAGCAAGCTGTTGGAAATCACCCAGTAACTTTTCAGAAGAAAGACCCAGTATTCTGCTCCTGTGAGGTTTGTGCCTTGAAAAAAAAAACTCTATGGGGCAGTCCTGCTGTGTCACATACCCATGTGACACTGAGTTAAAATCAATATGATGACAACCAAGGATGTATCCTATCTCCATATCTTTTCAGTCTATATGCAGAGCAGAGGCTGGACTTTATGAGGCTTTAAGAGGCTGAACTTTATGAGGAGCAATGTGGCATCAGGATTGGATGAAGACTCATCAACAACCTGTGTTATGCAGATGAAATGACTTTGAGTGCAGAAATTGAGAAGGACATGAAGCATATGTTGCAGAAGGTCTTCAATATGGATTGAAGCTTAACCTCAAGAAAACAAAGATTCTCATCACTAGCCTACTCGGCAGCTTCACAACAGGAGAAGAGATTGAGATTGTTAACAACTTCAGCTTGCTTGGTTCCACAATCAACACTCTTGGCACCAGCAATCAGGAAATCAAAAGATAAATTGCATTGGGAAAATCTGCTGTAAGGGACCCTTCTAGAGTGCGGAAGAGTAATAATATCAGTCTGGAGACTAAGGTGCACCTGATATAGGCCGTGTTCTTCGCAATTACTTGCTATGTGTCAGCGAGCTGGACAATGACTAAGAATGATAGAGGAAGAATAGATGCCTTTGAGTTATGGTGCTGGAGGAAAAGAGTGTTGAACAAACTGGACTGGCAGGAGGACAAACAGGTCTGGCCTAGAGAGAGTGAAACCAACTGCTCCCTGGAGGCAAGGAATTTGAAGCTCCATCTCACACACTTTGGGGAGATGGTCAGGAGGGACCAGTCCTTGAAGAAGGATAGAGGGACAGAGGAATAGAGGATGAGATGGATTGATTCAGTGACTGGAGAAATGGGATCAAATCTGTTGGAGACATTGAGATTGGCTCAGGATAAGACAGAGTTCAGAGCTGTTGTACGTAGGATTGCTATGAGTTGCAGGTGACTCGATGGTACATAACAACAATGACAACAAAAAGAACAAGTGATCCATCTTTATTGATTCAACAGAATGTGGAAATTATTGCACAATGTCATCATATCACATTCAAGAAAAATCTTGCTGAAGAAGATTACCCCAAAATTACAAGAACATGACATTGATAAAGAAATGTCAGAAATATAAGCTGGATGTAGAAGAGGCCGTGACACTAAAGATTTCATTGCCAATGTCAGTTGGGTTTGAGCTGAAAGCGAAGAATACCAGAAGGTTGTCTATCTGTGTTTTATTGACTATGCAAAAGCATTTGACTTTGTGGATCACAAAAAAAAGTGGGTCTAACCTTGAGAAGAATGGGAATCTCAGAACACTTAATTGTGCTGTGCAAAGCCTATATACCTAGATCAGGAAATTGTATGAACAAAGCAAGGGAATTCTGCATGGTTCGAAATCAAGAAAGGAGTGTGTCAGGGATGTATCCTGTCTCCATACCTTTTCAATATATATGCGGAACAGATAATTTAGGAGGCTGGTATTTTTGAGGAATAATGTAGCACCAGGATTGGAGGAAGAATCATCAACAACCTGAGGTATGCAGATGACACAACTTTGCTCGCCCCCCAAAGAGGAGGATTTAAAGTACTTGCTGCAGAAAGTCAAGGACTTCAGTCTTCAATATCAGTTGAATCTCAACTTGAAGAAAACAAAGATTTTCATCACCAGGCCAATTGATAGTATTCTGTTTGCTGTTGTTGTTATGTGCAATCGAGTCCTTTGCGACTAATAGTGGCCCTATGTTCAACAGCCCTAAACCCTGCTCTATCCTATGCCAATTGCACTGTCTCTGATACACTCGTCCCAATTACCCCAGTCACTGAATCAATCCACATTATAGAGGGTCTTCCCCTCTTGCACCGTCCCTCCACTCTTCCAAGCATGATGTCCATCTCCAAGGACCTGTCCCTCCTTACAACATGTCCAAAGTACGTCAGACGAAACCCCAGAATCCTTGCCTCCAAGGAGCAGCCTAGTTTAATCCTCTCCTGGATGAATCTGTTTGTTTTCTTGGCAGTCCATGGTACATTCAATACTTTTCTCCAGCACCACAGCTCAAAGGCATCAATTCTTCCATTCTCCCTCCCTAGTCATTGTCCAACTCTCTGATGCATAACAAGTGATTGTAAAGACCATGGCCTGTATCAGACACACCTTAGTCTCAGAGTGACACCATTGTTCTTTAGTACCCTGGAGATGTCCCTAACAGCCGACTTTCCCATCACAATACGTTTTTTGATTTCCTGGCTGCTGGTGCCAAGAGTGTTGACTGTGGAGTCAACCAGACTAAAGTTGTTAACAATCTCAATCTCTTCACCATCCATCCTGATGCTGCCAGTTGGTCCAGTGGTGAGAACCTTTCTCTTCTTGACATTGAGCCTCAATCCATACTGAAAGCTGCAGTCCTTGACCCTCTGCAGCAAGCATTTCAGGTCTTCCTCAGTTTCAGCAAGTGGGGTTGTGTCATCTGCATAACGCAGATTGTTAGTAGATCTTCCACCAATCCCAATGTCACACTTCTCCTCACAGAGCCCAGCCTCTCAGATAATCTGTTCTGCATACTGGTTGAAAAGGTATGGAGATAGGACACATTCTGGGCGTACACCTTTCCCAATTTTGAGCCATGCAGTGTTTTCCCTGCTCTGTCTGATGGCTGCCTCTTGGTCCAAGTATTGGTTTCATATTAGCACGATTAAATGTTCTGGAATTCCCATTCTTCTTCTCAGAGTCAGCCATAGTTTATTATGATCCACCCAGTCAAACGACTTTGCATAATCGATGAAACACAGATAGACATTCTTCCGGTGTTGTACATAGGGTTTTCTGAGGCCTGCTATTTCTGAAGTGGATGTCCACTTAATCTCAACGTTCAGATTTAGAGGAGTATCTGACAGACAAGCAATTTATAGAACAGTGACAATAAATCCCTCATTGTGGAGTTAACCATTAGTTACAGTGTTGTCCCTGCCCAGTGTCTTGACCCACTTATTTCCCAGGTTCACCCTCCACCAGGATACCTCTTCACTTCTACCGAATCCCTTCAGCATTTATCCTCCATTGTCCAACCCTTGATCGGACAGCTTGTATCTGAAATTTTCATGGCTTCTGTGATTCCAAACACGTCAGCTGCTGACAATTTCTTATGCTGTGACCAGTGTCTCTTAAGTTTAGTGGTAATGTCTCCAAAGGGAGGGTGTTGTGTTCTGTAGAACTGGGGTATAGATTGCGGCCCACTGGCCTGAATGACCTTGGCGCAGCCTTGGAACTTTTGCACCTGTGGGCGGGGCAAAGTTTTTCCCACGAGGCGCTTCTCTATTGGTTGGCCCCTGGTTCTGCCAACGCAGATTCTCTTCTCCCCCGTTCTGTCTGCACAGATCCCTCTGTCTCCCCTCTGCACGGGAGAAAAAAAAAATGAGGGTATTAAGAATTTCATCCACAATCAACACTTTTGGTAACTGTAGTCAGAAAATCAAGAGGCGGGTTGCATAAAGAAAGTCTCTAGTCAGGGACCTTTCCTCAGTTCTAAGGAGCAATGATGTCATTTTAGAGACTAAGGTGCACCTGATTCAGTACATGGTTTTCCCAATTGCTTGCTATGTAACTGAGAGCTGGACAGTGACTAATGCCCTTGAGTTATGGTGCTGGAAAAGAGTATTGAACACACTATAGGCTGCCAAGAGAATACATGAGTCTTTCTTGGAGAGAGTGAACTCAAGTTGCTTTTTGGAAGTAAGGAATTTGAAACTCCATTTCATGAACTTTGGGCATGTTGCCAAGAGGGCCTAGTTTTTAGAGGAGGACATCATGCTTGGAAAAGTAGATGGTCAGTGCAGAAGAGGAAGATCTTGAATGAGATAGATTGACACAGTGACTGTGGCAATGGGGACAAGTGTGTCAGAGATGATGAGACTGGTCTCAGGATAGGGCAGGGTTCAGAATCATTGTTCATAGGGTCACTATGAGTTGTAGTTGACTTGATGGCACCTAACAACAACAACAAACAATATGAGACCTTAGGAGTCCTTGAGTGGTGCAGTGGTTAAGAATGTGACTCTTCATGGAATGCTTAGTGGTTCAAACTCTCCCAGAGGCACCTCCTTAGGTCTCACAATCTTCTCATGAAAAGTTAACTACCTTGAAAATCCCAAGGTACCGTTTCTACTCTATAACACATGGAGGCCACCATCACCTAGAAACAACACAATGGTAAACTACCCTGTGCGTACACCCTTTTGTATGTGCTTGATGAAGTACTGGTGACATGAAGGTTAATTGAAAGAATGTGTGAAAAATGACATTCACTGTGTTGAGACGACACAGAAAGTGCTCGGTGAAGATCAATAGCAAACCCAATCCCATCATTGTCGCTTCTAGGAGCAAAGGGGGGGGGTGTCTCCCCTCGTACAGATTTATGGCCTTGGAAACCCAATGCAGAGTCACTGTGAATTGCCAGTGGCTTTGGTTGTGGGTTATGAAAGCATTGCTATTTTGGTTTGAGGTTGACAGTGTCTTTGTGTCTCTTCTGTCTCAGCATTTTTGGAAGCGTGGAAGTTGTCCACTTGAATCCAGCAAGAGTCCATTCACTACAAGCCTGGGTGATCCATAACATTGGAGCAGCTCCCAAGTAAGTTTCATTGCTTTGCTTCCACGTAATCTCAGCATTAGCTTGTGATCCGTCAACAGAAGAATCCACAGTCACATGGACGCACTGAGAACAGAGTGGCTTGGGGAATTTCTGGTGGCACGGTATGTAACATGTTGGGCTGTTAGCAGAAAGGTCAACGCTTTGAATGCTGCACTAGCTCTGTGAGAGAAAGATGGATGGTTTCCTTCTGTGAAGATTTCCAGCTTTGGAAAGTAGATGGAGGGTGATTATAAGTCAGAATCCACTCAGCAATGGTGGGTTTGGATTTCCTTTACAATGGATGTTGTGTGGACCATAGAGTCGGAACTGACTCAGCTGACCCTCCAGCAGGTTTTCAGAGGCTGTTAATTTCACGGGAGGAGATTGCCCATTCTTTTCTTGTGGAGCAGCTGGTGGCCTCGAACCATGTGCCTTCAGGATTGCTGCACAGCTTCTTGCCAGTAGGCCACCAGAGCTCCCTCTACATGTATAGAATCTTTAAGTAAGTCTTTAAGGAATAAGAGGTTGGGTGTTGGACTGCTACCCCTGTTTGAATCTACCCGTTGTTCGGTAATAGAAAGTCCATGACTTGGAATGCACTTGATGGCAGTACATTTGCTTTGAGGTTGAGTGGTGAAAAAAAAAATTAATCGTGTCAGAGATCAAATTGGAGCCTGTTAAAATTAAAGAAAGACAGTTATAGAAGGAACAGAGCCAACTAGATTGGGAAACACTGCTTGAGGGTCCATGAAAGTCCTCTTGCAAGAGGAGTTTTTTTTCTCCTTCTAGTACAGAAAAATCCAGAAACTTCTAAGAAACGAAATTATTAATGATTGGCTTTACAAAGTCATACTTACCCGACATAGAGTTTCAAGGTCTCATGAAATGGATCCTGTTTCTCATAAATTTTTAGTCTTGGTGTTACTCTGTGGTTGCTTGTGGGGTCCAGCCTGGGTGACTACCCTTGCTGGGTAGTGCTGTGGAGGATAGTGGGAGAGAGACCCCAGGTCCCCTGAGGTATGCTGACCAGCTTTCTTTTAAAAGTCAACTCAGAATCAATAGGAAAAGAGCAAAAATGGAGCCCAGCTTGAAGCTTCAGCTGGAAAAATCCTGTCCCTAAGTCAAGTACCTGAATATCTGAAAGCTCTTCCACAGGTGTTACCTTCTTGGCTTTTACCTGAAATGTTGATAATTTGAATTCACCCACGAATGTCTCAGAAGGAAATCCCAGTGAAATATCACCAGATACCCAGCAAAGCCACTGATTTCAAGTCCATTCTAACTCACAGACACCCTCCATTGTATATCTAAGGCTGTAAATTTTTACCAGAGGAGTTTGCCCATCTTTCTCCTGTGGAGGGGCTAGTGGATCTGAACCATCAACCTTTTCATTAACAGTACAACAAACATGTAACACATTACATCCCCAAGCCATGACCCTTGAAAATCCTATGTAGTGCTTTTCTATTCTGAGACACATATGGTAGACACACACTGAGCTGAAATCAATTCCATGGCAACTGGTTTTACTCCACCCTGAGCTAATACGCATGCTGTTGTTGTGTGCTATTGAGTTGGAACTGACTCATAGCTGGTCCTCCAGTGGCTTTTCAGAAGTAGTAAATGACACAGGAGGAAATTGCCCATTGTCCTGTCACAGAGCAGACGATGGCTTTGATACGTTTGCCTTTGTGACTGCAGGGCAGTATCTTACCACTAGACTGTCAGAGCTCCACGGCCTCTTTATATTACCTCTGGGAAAGACACAAGGCTGCTGTGAGGGTTTATAGAGTCCAGCTCTACACCAGATCTGAGAGTGGGAAACCAGAGAGACTTCAGAAAAAGACAGACATAAAAGAGTTGGGCACAAAGAACTCAAATCTCCAAGAATCTTAAGTAACTTTATTCACTCCAGGCCAAGTTTTTAAACAATATTCCAAAACAGAAAAAAATGTAACAAGGGGTGTAAACAGTTCATTAAGAACCTTATCTCATAGGGAGCTCTGGTGGCCTAGTGACAAGAAGCTGTGCTGCAACACTGAAGGGGCATGATTTGAATCCACCAGATGCTCTACTGGAGAAGGAGGGGCAACCTTCTCCTATGCCAGTCAGATCTGACTCGGTAGTACACGATAAGAAAAAAGAAAACTGAAAAAAAAAGAACATTATTTCAGAACAAACATCTTCTCCGGTGATTTTTCAAGAAACATATTCTCAACGCTTCTCAGGGTTTTTTTGGCAAGGCTTTTGCACCATGAGAATGTAGGGTTTCTTGTTATTGAGTGTGTGTAGGTTTTCCCTTTATCAGACTGATAAGACTATCAGTTGAACTTGACCTAGCTCATCCACTGTCCTCTGTTAACTCCACAAGGGCTCAGTGATAGACTTCACCTCTCAGGGAGGAGACAGAGAATTGATTCCTCCCAGTCCTGCCCAATGCATCCCAATGGCAGTCACCACCTAGGTCGGTAGTCTTGTGGGCTGCAGTGATGCTGAACATGTTTCAGTGGAACTTCCAGACCAGGATGCACCAGGACAAAAGACGTGCTTGTCCACTCTGAAAATTAGTCTGTGAGAGTCCTATGATCGCAGGGTTCATCATGCCTGGGGTGACCAGGAGTTAAGGGTGGAGTCAGGGAAAACTAGAGGTGGGTTCTTGATCATGACCTGCTATATGGAAGAAACTAGGGGGAGACCTCAAAATCTCATTATTTCAATGCTTTCTTCTTTCCTCCCTAGGGACTCATGCTCAGACTCTTCCATAGGAGATTTGAGATTAGCTTTAAGCCAAAGGAATATTGCCTTTTCCTGCAAGAATGATCACAAGTAAGTCATTTCCTCTTGAAGAAACGGTGTTTTGCTGTAGACAAGTATTTCCCTTTCCCTCAGCATCCTTTGAGCCAGAAGGGCTGAGAAGCCCTCCCTGGGACTTTGGATGTCCTGTGCCTGCTGGAGACCTTGGCCACTCCCCCAGTATAGCCCAAATGGTGCTTCCTGTGGTCTCACCTGGTCCTGAAAGAGGCCCAGCTTTTGAGGCAGTGTTTTCAGGATCCACTGTGATAGTCATCACTCATTGCTTGTGGTTGTGTGTCATCGAGCCGTAACTGACCCATAGGTGACGCTCCAGTGGGTTTTGGAAGCAGTTAACTGCACGGGAGGAGATCACCCATGCTTATCTCTCAGAGCAGCTGGTGGATTTGAGTTACACCTTTGAGTTACTGCTTTAACTCCTTACTCAACACTTAGAGACCCATAAAGTATCTGTTGTTGTTGTTGTTATGTGCCTTCGAGTTTGCGACTCATAGCGACCCTATGCACAACAGCCGTAAACCCTGCTCTATCCTGTGCCAACCACACGGCCTCTGACACACCCATCCCGATTACCCCAGTCACTGAATCAATCCATCTCATAGAGGGTCTTCCCCACCTGCACTGTCCCTCCACCCTCCCAAGCATGGTGTCCCTATCCAAGGACCCGTCCCCTCCTGACAACATGTCCAAAGTATGTCAGACGAAGCCCCAGAATCATTGCCTCCAAGGAGTAGCTTGATTTAATCCTCTCCAAGATGAATCTGTTTGTTTTCCTGGCAGTCCGTGGTACATTCAGTACCCTTCTCCAGAACCACAGCTCAAAAGCATCCACTCTCCTTCTGTCCTCCCTGGTCATTGTCCAACTCTCTGATGCATAACAAGCAATTTGCAAATACCATGGCCTGTATCAGGCGCACCTTAGTCTCCAGAGAGACACTGTTGCTCCTGAGTACTTTAGAGAGGTCCCTAACGGCAGACTTTCCCATCGCGATACGTTTTTTGATTTCCTGACTGTTGCGAGCTCTGGTGGCCTAGTGGCAGGAAACTGCACTGCAATCCCAGAGGTGCGAGGTTCAAATCCACCAGATGCTTTGCTGAAGAAGGAGGAACAATGGCCTCCTGTACCAGTAAGATCCAGTTTCACGGTACACACATAAAAAGAATAAATTAAAAAAAAAATAAAAAGAAAGACTGGAAATGTTTCTGTCATTGAGCCTTAATGAAGAAGCCTAGTACTTAATACGATGGTAGATGGTAGTTGAAGAGGCATTATTTTTGTTTATTAAGAACCCTTAACATCTTTTCAAATTTTTCACAAGCAGTAGCTAGTTATTGGAGAAAACATTTTAAAATTACAAGGTCTTTTTGCTTGACTGGGTTTCTGGTTTGCTCATTTATTTTTTAATTAGTATTTTGTGTGTACCATCAAATTGTTCATTTAGTTTTTAAGACACCTGTGTCTCCAGTGACCTAAGCTGTAGGGAGTTACGGTGCTAACCTCAAAGATACAGCTCTCTGATGGTTTGAATCTTTCAGAGGCTCTTTTGAAAAAAGGTGAACAATCACCCACTGATGGGTCAGTCAGCTCCAACTTGACAGCAATTAAGTGTGTGTGTGTGTGTGTGTGTGTGTGTGTGTGTTTAATGTCTCTGCACCAAAATGGAAACACTTATAATAAGTGTCACTAAATTATATACACATAAAAAAATCTTGAGTTGGCAGCCTTATAAGGAAAAATACTGCATAAGATCATTATTGTAGAAATAGAAAGATAACTAATAAAATTAGTATAAGGATCCAAGGGGTGGAGGGTGGGAGCAGAGGGGTGAGGATGGGCAGGGGAAAACCATAGCATTGTACAGTTTGGTGAGTGGGTTGGTGGGCGGGTGGTGGGGGAGGAATTGAGAAAGATCTGGTGGGGATCTGGAAAGACAGGGTAATAGTGGCCATAGTTCAATGGTGGTTAATTTTGGAAAACATAACAATTGGGAATGATTGTATGAGACACAGTGTGAAACAAAATGTATACATGAACTCTATAAGCAAACCAACGTAAAATTAAAATTTAAACAAAAAATCTTTAGTTGGAAAATGTATTATATCTTTACAATAATGAGCAGAAGATATATTGACCACTGTCCCAAAATACAAAAACCCCTAACTAGGATTCTATACTAATTTCCCTCCCTGTACTCACACATGCCCAGCAATGTAGCCTTTGGAGATTTTCCCCACAGGCAATACTTCAGAACAAGATGGACACAAAAAGTAGCAGTTTCACAGGCTACAGATGCTGAAATGCTAGGATATTTTCATTATCTTTTTCCTTTTACCACCCTCTCTCATCAAGCACATCGCAAAGACAGAACAGAGTCAGGGATATTCACTTTGAGGACTTCCCTATCTGTGGGCTGTTAGAAACAACATTGCCTTACAGCCATCAGATGGGGGAAACTAACAAAACCAACTAGCCAGTTGCCACCACGCTGATTCCAGCTCATGGTCACCCCATGCATGTGAGAGAAGAACATCATTTCAAAGGGTTTTCAGTGGGTGATTTTTCAGAAGAAGATCTCTACACTTTGGGTTGGATTTGAACTTCTAAACTTTTGACTAGTAGATGAGTGCATTCACTGTTGATGTCTCCAAAAAGAGAAAGGCACAAAGACACTGCAGACATCTAACCAGTCAATGAGTAGGAATGGACTTAATGGCAATTAATGAAGGTTTTAATGAAGTTAAATAAAGTTAAACATAATGACATTTTTGTTATGTTTTATTGCCTCTCCCCTGATCTTTGATCCAAAATGTCTTCAGGAGGCATCTAAAAACAACAACAAAAGGCAAATCACCCAAAAATATGGGGATAACTGTGCCCCGGACCCAAGTTTTGGAGAAAAGCTTAGTGATCTATTTATGAAATATCACCCATAGGAGACTCATTGCCGACCCATCTAAAACAAAGCCTTTTGGAGCATAATTTCTCCCTTATATAGTTGTAGTCCCATGACTATAAATTGACTCTATTGTTTGTTTGCTTTTGTGGTTGTTTGGCCATGAGCTGACATTGGTGGCAAATATCTGTGATGTATTCAAGGACAAATGTCTGGTTTCACCTGTATATATCTCCTCTTAATATTCCTTTTCAGCTTTTATACTAGGATTGACAATAACAGCAAATGAGACTAAATTTATTCACATGAAGCCTTTCATTTCCAGACTAGATGTTGTCCTCGGACTAGGCCTTCTTCTAGTTGGATAAGAACTTGTCAGGGTACAACACAGTCTATACCAATTTTGCTTAAAACAAAGTCTTCTCTTTCAAGTGAATTAAACTACAATTGTATCTTCTCACCTCTAAAATGCTCCTTTTTGCTTCCTTCTCATAGGCCTGTGAAGTTTATCCAATGCGTGAGTAATTTTGAATCTTGTCATCTGTGACGTGATTTTATTAGTATATGGACTTCAGAGCTTGGACCCTTGTAGACATCAACATGCTTCACTTAAGACACAGGCTGATGGAGAACCGAAGCTATTGGAGGGTCCGCAATCACAATGTCAACAATGAGGGCTAAAGCTTTTTCCTGGAAATCATAAAATAACTTTAGTATCAACATAGTTTTATTTTTCTATTTTGCTTGTCTAATATTCAAAACTTAGGGATTGTTGTATTCTAGAGTGAGAGTTTTCTATTAAATTATTTTGTTGTCATGTGATGTTTTTATGTTGCTTATATATTGATGACGTCTTTTTCGTCAAAATGGAACACATCTATAATATCATCAAACACAATGAGAGGACTTCTGGGAGTGCGGGTGTTTTTGGGTTGGAGAGGGCCAAGGTGAAATCTCCTGCTACCATGCTCAACCACAAAACTATTGAAACACCCAGGCCTGGGGCAGGGTTGGAAGGGAGGAAAGAAAAGAAAAAGAAAAAAGCAATGAGAGATAAGGTAAAGTGGAAAAAAGGATATAGTCATCCAAAGTAAATGAATACACTTATAATCCTGCATTATCAGAAATAATAAGCTTCAAAATATTGTTGTTGTTTGTTAAGTACAATCCATAGCGATCCTTTGAGCAATAGATCTGAAACCTGTCCTACCCTGTGCCAACCTCACATTCTCTGACACCCTTGAGTCCATTGATGCAATCACTGTGTCAATCTACCTGGTGAACAGTCTTCTCTCCTCTGCCTTCCTTTCACTTTTCCAAGCATCATATCCTTTTCCAAGGAGTATCCCCTCCTAGAAATATGTCCAGCATACATGAGACAAAGTTTTACTATCCTTGCTTTCAAGGAACAATCTGGCTTTACCTTCTCTAAGAAATATCTATTTGTTCTTTTGGAAGTCCATGGGATTTGCAGTACTCTCCTCCAACACCATAGTTCAAAGGCATAACATTTCCTTCTGTCATATTTATTCGTTGTCCAGCCCTTAAATGTCAATCTACAAATGGATATACAGGCAGATAGGCAAAAGGAACATATACAAGCAGATCAAAGCCTTTACACTCATGACCAAGCACTGTTGTTAAGTACTGTTGAGTCAGCTCTGACACTAGTGGCCATATGTTCAACAGAGGGGATCTCTGCACAATCTTGTACCTTCCTCACAGTCTCCTCTGGGCTTGAGCCCATGGTGGTAGTCTCGGTGACAATCCACTTCCTTTCAGATCTTCTCCTTCTTTGTTGACCCTGTACTTTTCCAAGCATGATGTCCTTTTCTAGGGATTGGCTCCTCTTGATAACATACCCAAGATCAAGTCCAACCATCCTTGTTTCCAGTGAAGACTCTGGCTACACTTCCTCCATGATAAAATTGTTTATTCTCTTGGTAGTCTATTTGATTATCTTTGAATTTTAATACTTTATAGTAGCTCTTCATGCTGACCAAATATGCCATCATGAGCATGCATTCAGCACTATATATGCTCAATGCTGTTACAGAATCCAGCAAGAGATTTATGACTCCCTGGAGCACACAGAGGGATGCAGTGTGGCCCTTCATATCAAATA